CACGGTGAGGCGTGCCATTACCACTGCTGAGGAAGCTGTCTGTATCCTGAGCAGTGGACCGCCGTGGCCCGCGCAGTGCGGGGCGGCCACCACCCGTCGTCATCCTGGTGTGCTTCATTGCCCCCTGAGGGACTTGGTCGGGTAGTACTTCGCAATGTCGCCTTCCATGTCCCAGTTCTCGCGGTCTCGTGGCTGTGTCCATCCGTGGTGTACAGCGTCCATGATGGCGTGAGCCAGTAGTCTGCACATCTCGGTGGTGTGGGTCCTGGCGGTAGCTCTTTCCCCAGAGCCGTCGTTGCTCCGTCCAGTTGAACGGCAATGGTACCCTGTGCCGTGATTGCATCTTCCGTGGTTGGGTAGTAGTGTTATCGTCCGTCGTACTTCTGGTACTGGTATTGCGAGTAGCGTGGTCGGCCTCGCGGCTGTCTGTCCAGTCATGCATTGGTCGAAGGTGATAAGGCCCACCCCGTCGACGCCAGTCAGGTTTGTCATTTCTGGTAGTAGCAAACAGTTTGCTGTATCTCGCCCGTCGCTGACTATGGCGGGGTGCTCCATGATCATGGGGACCTTCGCGTCGATGCATATGTGTGCAAAGGGAATAGTGGTACGCAGCAGCTGGCTGTCGCTGTGTAGTTGTCCGAACTGCTGCAGGGACAGGCGCTGTAGCTCTCAAGGTTGTTGTCGGCTCCTCAGAGGTCGCGCGCGGTGCCCGCTCCATGTCTCGCATAGTGGTCCAGATATGATCGCGGCCACGCGGCCGCGTAGTCGTTGGTCTCTCCAGAACTGTATGGTGTCCAATTTCGTGAGGTCTCCCTTGGTCTCGTGGTGGGTGGTGTCGAAGAAGGGTATTGTGGTTATATTGTCGTTGGGGTTGCGCTATCCTATCCATCGTTGCACGTCGCCATTGCGTCCGTGTCCGCTGCAGATGCGTAGGATGACCTGTCTCGAAGTACCTGTAGGCATTGGTACTGGCGTCGGGTCAGGTCTCGGATCCAACAGTGCTGTAGCAGGTATGGGCATGTCGCTTCTAGCCTCGTGGTCCTTGACGTACAGCGGTGGTATGTCAGTAGTGTAGCTGGCGGTGTTCGTGCAGTGCTCTTTGCATGACGCGCATGGCCTCTCTGTTTGCTTCAGTGCTTGCTTCGTCATGCCTGTCTGCGTCTCGCCTCCAAGGTGCCGCGCATGCAGTGCGCGCGAGTAGCTGCTTGACGAGTCTTCCGAATGCGTGGTGGTCGTTGGAGCATGTCAGGCATCTTTCTCCATGGGCCCACCTAGTTGGGTGGTCGTCTGTTGGGTGGTCTTTTCCCATGTGGACGTAGAATGCGTTGATGTCGGTAAATGTGGCACCACATTCGTAACGCATGATCGTCTTGTCGCTGTGGTTGTCGTCGGTCATGAGTTGTGGGACTGGGTCGTTGTGTTGGCAAGGTCGTAAGCTGTTGTGCCATTGTCGTAGATGCTCTTGATCGCGGGTGTGTCGTATGTGGCGCCGCGTCGCGGTCTTGACTTGTGGCGCTGAGGTATGAGGCGTCTTGCGGATTGCGCTGGGGATGGGGTCGAGGTCCACGGTAGGGTGTAGCTTGCGATCTTCGTCGAGGTATGTCCACATCCACTGTAGATCGTCGCGCACCATATGTTCCCATGATGAGTTTCGGCTGATGTTGGCGCCAACGATTCGCAATGGTATGGTCGGGGCTTGTTGTAGTAGCCTCGGTAGATATCGCAGCCTGAAGGTGCGCATGGCGATGTGCGCGTCTGGTCGGCTGACTTCGATAAGTACTCTGCTGTTGCTTATCTTCTGGCGGTCGTGGCTGTTGGCCCTGTGTCCAGCTGTCATCCTGTTTCCTTTCAGGTATCCGGCCTCGATGCTATGGGGCTGCCCCTGGTTGAGGAGGTTCCAGGTGCGTGAACTGTAGAAGAGGACCGAGTGGGTGAGCGCGTCGTTGAGGAGGGTCTCGCTGTCGATACTCAGCTGTTTTCGCTTGTAGATTTCTTTTCGTAATGAGGCTCTACTTGTTGTGGCCTTTGAGATTATCCGCTGTATCTCTGGTCATTGCCCTCCGTCGTAAATTGCGAAACCCAGCGGTTACTGGCGGTTGACGAACTCAATTGGCTCGCTGGGGTGCTGGTTCTCTATGTTCGAGATGTTGTGTCTGGCGGGTTGCTCCTTGGCTGTTCTACTCTGGTGCCCGTGCAGGAGCAACGCAGTCTTGGTCTTTTTGGCGTGGAGTCGCATGCCATGGGCCATTGCCCATTTGACTATGATGTTGGAGAGCGTCTTGGCCGCGTTGATGATGTCAGGTGCCGCTCTGTGTCGCACGCGGGCGTGGGCGTTCATGCCGTCTACGAAGGGGGTGTCGATAAGCTGTGCCCCTCCATCCCCACCGACTCTTGCATGTCTGTCCTTGGAGAAGATGGCTTCCTGGCGTCCTATGTCGGCGTCGATGTGAAAATTGCTGTCGGGCATGTCCTCTGCAATATGTCGCGTGACCTTTGCGAGGAGGTAGTTGAAGGTGAGGTCTGATGCTGGTGCTCCAGGACGCGTGCCAGTACGTGGCTGCGCCATCCTGGTGGGTCCTTTGGTAGTGGCCCACATGTCTGTGTGCGCGTCTTGTAGTAGCGCGCAGCATTGCTCATCGCCCGAACATGGGCGCTCCGCTCATGGCCAAGTGTAGCGCAGGAAACAATGGCCCGAATATGTTGATGTCGTGTAGCAAGTCGTTGGGCTCCTCTGGTGTATGTAGGAGCTGGGAGACAAAATGTAGTGCTACGCTGTAAAAGGCGCCCTTGGTGTCCAAGAAAAGTATCATGGCTGCTCCTCCTCTCTCTCTCTCTCTCTGAGGTGTTCCATGACGCCGCGGGTCGTATGCGCGACGAAATATGTGGACTGATGTGGTCGTGCTTCACATTGTGCGTCTCGCAGTAGTTGCGCCGCAATGCTTTTGAATATGGTGCGTATGATGCGGTGGTGGCGCTTAGCTATAATGTTGCTGAGTAGTGCCATCCTTCTCGCTTGAAAGCCAGGTTCGGTAGCATTGGGCTTGGAGAGAGACGTTTGCCATCCACATTTGCGGGATAGTGGTTCCACAGTCGCCATCTGCGCCTTTACCAGGAGTGGGCGGTAGATCCTGGTCGTCTCGTTCGGCGCGATCTTGCAGTAGTCGCCGATGAGATTGTCAGGGCCTCCGCTCCGTCCTTGCTCTGCCTGTGTGAACTGTCGCTTCGTCTCTTCTTTGGTGAAAATGTCGTGGGGCGGTGTACCGTCGAGCGTTCGGATTGTGGCTGCGTGGGTGCCGCGGTTGTTGTACTTGTCGTCAATCTCCTGCGGGCCCATGATCTTCGAGTGCCCCGCAATGGCGAAGTGGTCCAATTCTGCTTCCGCCTGCTGCAGTTGATCACGTAGGGGTTGTCCGTCAGGGCCAATGACGTGTAGGCGTTCAGCTGTGATGCGTCCAGGAGCCTCTTGATGTCAGCCCATGCTCTTCTGGGGTCGTCCTTTGCGCTGGTGGCGATGCTCTCGGGGTGGTTGGAGCGGTCGGTCCCGGTGGCGCTTGCAAGATGTGGTGATGATCCACGTAGGGATGCAATTGCCGCCAATGCTAGTTCCTCGAGCTGTGGGTGGTTACGTACGATGTCTTCAGCTACTCGTTGAAGTGCAAGTATGGTTTCTGGGTTTGTTCACACTTGTCAACATTACTCACATCTCTCTCCGAGACCGTTGACATTTACACAACTCTCAATTTCGCGCGTTTGCTTCCACCTCACTCGCGTTTCGTTGTCCATCCGCAGTCTCGGATTCGTTCGTATGTCCTATGTGCTGTTTCGATGGGAACTTCCTCAGTGTTCTAAAATGGTTTTCCCGGAACGGCTTTGGCCAACATTCTAGATCGTCGCCTCGCTCCTGTCGTTCAGGATTGTGATCTCGCTTCAGCCCGGGCCACATTTCTGGATCCGGTTCCTTCCTCGATCTGCCGCGTCAACTTCTGGTCCTTCGCTTCCTCCTTGAACAAGGACCTTCCTTCCGATTGCGCATCACGGCCCGACAGGGCAGCTATGGGGAGCACACCCTCGGGATGTGACGCAGTGGAACGCAATTGGAGGACGGAGCAGAATGGCCGATGTGGCGCGAGCGCACTTCGCTTGACCTGACGAGTCCAGTTGCGCTGCCGCGCGATCCCGCCACCGCGCTCGGGCGGGCGGGGGGTGGGCAAGCGCCTTGTCCTTCCCTCCCTCCCTCCTTCCCTCCCTCCCTCCTCCCTCCTCCCTCCTCCCTCCTCCCTCCTCCCTCCCTCCTCCCTCCTCCCTCCTCCCTCCTCCCTCCTCCTCCCTATTTTGTATTTGGGTATTTGGGGACAAAGTTATGCCTGGGAGGGTAAACACGCAGGGGCTGGGCCACAGGAGGGAACGCACCTTGGGCTCGATGCGTCGGGGGCCCGACTATAGTTGCTTCGCCAGTGGCGAGAGGTCCCGACGCACAGCAACCGCTGCGAAGCGCGGTGGCGGGTCTTCCCCTCTCCAATGACCACGTGCAGCCGCACCACCGCCTCTACTGCGTGCTATCTTCCAAAACCTTGCACTAAATTCTTTGGTAGTTCCCATCGTTGAGTTGTGACCGGGCCCTTCTCCCTCGTTCTAGAATGTTGTTCTCGCTGCATCGTTGGCCGTATTTCAGGATCGGTACCTTGCTCCCTTCGTTCAGAGCGGCGCTCTCTCCCTTGCGCGGGCCACAATTCTGAATCCGAATCCTTCCTCGTCGTTGTCGTCCTCCTTCTTGACCCCCCTCCACATTCCCCTGCGCCTCCTGCTCCTCCTGACCGTGCTCCTCCTGCTGCTACTGTTTCTCCTGCGTATCCGCTTTGTCCTTCTTCGTCCGCATCCTCTGTCTAGCTCTGTGAACGTGATTGCCTGTCCAAATCGCTCGGCCGCTGCTCGGCTGGAACCGCTTACACGTCCGTTCCATTGCCGTGCTCGGCCCAAGCCTTTCAGAGAGCGGCGGCCGCATGCTTCAGAATCTCGCCTCTCAGACGGGCGTTGCCGCGATCGGCCATTTCGCGGCCGACTGGGCGCGGCGCATCGGCGGGCTGGCCTTCGAGGCCGGGCAGCTGGCGGCGGCGGCAGAGCAGCTGGGCGGCACGCGCATCCTTCTGCTCATCATCTTCCTGGTGGGCGTGCTGGCCGGCTGCTGCTGCTGCACGACCTGCACGCTGGTGGCGAGCGTCGTCTGGCATGGCGCTGGTCCTGCGCGCTGGCATGCGCCTGCTGGTCCAGTGGCGGGCGCAGGAGGACTATCAGAGCCGCCTGTTGCTGCGCCTGTGCGACGCCGACGAGTTCGAGCACGAGCTCGGGACACCTCCGACGAGTCCGACGAGCCCGCTGTGGATGGCGGCGACCCCGGACGAGGACATCTACCCGCACGAGCTCGAGGTGCCTCCGCTCCACGCGATGGTGCCGTGCGATCGGACGGGCCAGCCGCTTTGGCGCGAGCGGATCGGCGGGGACGGCCGCCGGCTACCCCGCCCGTGCTACGGCGCCCAGTGGCATCCCTCGCCCCTCGAGTTCATGGAGCTCCTCGGGTCCTGCAACGCGAGGCCGGAGGGGGAGGAGGTGGCGCTGGCAGCGCCGCCGGAGGGGCCGCCGCGGGTGGATGGGACAGCGACTCCTTCTGACGGGCTCGCCCGGGGCTCAGGGAAGCTGGTGGCGAGTGAGAACAGGCGGTGGCTGATCACCGCTAGCGAGGACGACAGCGACGTGAACGTGCTGGCCGACTTCGACGCTTGTGAGTGGTACGCGGTGTGCGACTCCCTCGCGGTCGTGAAGGCGGGCGGCAAGGTCTACCTGGCCAAGGCGGTGACGGAGAAGCAGGCGGAGAGCTCGATGGATGCGCGCGTCATGCCCATCCTGCACGGGCTCGACGGCGAGAGGCGGCGCGTCTTCAAAGACGCCGTGCGGGGGATGTCGGAGACGCCCTGGACGGGGTGGCCTGTGAAGGGCCCCCGCACCGCGCTGTGGTGCGTCCGCTTCTTGGCGGAGCAAGACTCGCATCCGCGCGCCCGCCACACCAAGTGGCGCGCGGAGTGCGGCCTCGGGCCGGCCGACGTCGGCGTCTCCGACCACGAGCTGGCGATGCGGGCACTGGAGCTGGGCGCCGGCTTTGACCAGCTCAACTTGACGGAGCTGGCGCTGGTGGAGCTCCTCGTCCGCCGCGCTCAGCTGGCGGAGTGGAGGCACCGCGAGCGGCTGCTGAAGAGCAGCGGCGACGAGTACCTGGAGGACGAGTACCTGTACATGGGGACCTCGGAGACGAGGGGGCTTCTCATGGTGTGCCCGACGCTCGTCGAGCACATCCAGGCGGAGCTGCACAAGGAGGCGACGCTCATGAAGGAGAAAAGGAAGCTCCGCGAGGAGCGGATGCTGTCGCGGGGCCAGGGCTCTGGCGGCGGCGGCGGCGGCGGCAACAAGGCGCTGCAGGACAAGGTGGCCGCGCAGGCCGCGGAGATCAGCAAGCTCCAGGCGAAGTTGAAGGGCCCCCAGACCGGCAGCAAAGGCGCCGGCGGGGGTGGGGGCCAGTAGCCCATGGTGGTCGCCCGGGAGCTGCTGCCCTGCCCGGTGCCCGGCCCTGGTCGCGACTCGGCCAGCCGGGGGTGCCGGGCGGTGCGTTCACGAGCGCGGCAGGGGCAGTACGCCGCGCAGTGGCTCTCAGAGGCTTTGCACGCAGTGAATTCGCTGTACGGGCATGGGGCTCCTCGTCGGGATCTTCAGGCTTCGTGCGCCCAGCTCGCTGGCATCGACCACGTCCGCGAGATCATTCAGGAGGCCGGGCCTCCACCTTTTTCAGGAGCGGCAGCCCATGCTGAGCTGTGCTCTCACTTGCCGGGATATGCAGAAGACACCGTGCGCCGAGCCTCCTACACCGAGGGGCTGGTCTCCCTGCCGACCGCTGGCGGGCAGTGCGTTGGCGCTGACTGCTTGACAGGTCGTGCCCGCGAGTTGTGGGTAGGATGGCAGAAGCATCTTCTTCGCGAAGGAGGGCCGCCCGATGGTCCTCGTCTTCGCCCTTTCTCCGACCCGAAATTTGTGCATTGCATGAAGACCTACTCTCGATTTGTTGGTGAGTTGCTGAGCCGAGGCCTGATCGACCTCGGCGAGCGGACCGAGAGCACGGTGGGCATCTTCTTCGTTTTCAAGAGCGACAAGCGGTCCCTCCGCATGATCGCGGACACGCGGGTGGCGAACATGCGGTTCCGGCCCCCGGCATATTCGGAGCTGCCGACGGCTGGGGCTTGGAGCAGCTTGGCCGTGCCAGAAGGCAAGTCCCTCCACTTAGCCCAGATGGACGTGGATAACGCGTTCTACAGGATCGCCACGCCGCCTGGGCTACGCGACCATTTCGTGCTCCCCGCGGTTGACCTCGAGGTGCTCCGGGCCGAGAGGCCCGACCTGGCGGGGCAGCTGCCCGCCTGGCGGAAGGCGTCGCCTCGGCTGGTGGTCCTCGCAATGGGCTGGAACTGGAGCCTCTTCTTCTGCCAGCAGATGGTGGAGACGCAGGTGCTCCGCAGCGGCCTGGCCTGGGAACGGCTGGCGCGGGACCGACACCCCACTCCTGCTCTCGAGGAGGGGCCTGCCGCGGCCGTCTACGTCGACGGTGCTGCCGTGGTCGGGCTCGACTACGCCGAGACCCTGGAGACGGGGCAGCGGGTGCGCGACTCGCTGGACGCTGCGGGCCTGACCTGCAAGGGGCTCGAGGGGCCCAGTGCAGAGGCAACGTTCACCGGCCTGGTGTTTGACGAGGCGAAGGGCCGCGTTGGGCTCAGTCGCCGGCGCATGTGGCGCATCCGGCTGAGCCTGCTGCACGTCGCGGACCGCGGCTCGGCGACCGGCGACGAGGTGCGGGTGCTCCTCGGCCACTTCACGTGGGGCGCGCTGGTGCGTCGCGAGCTGCTGTCGATCTTCTCGGCGGCCTACCGGTTCGCGACCTGGGCCGGTGGGCGGCGGCGCCGCCTGTGGAGCGCCGTGGAGGCCGAGCTTCGCATCGCCGCAGCGCTCGTCGTGTTCGGCTACGTGGACTGCCGCCGCCGGCCAGACCCCGTGGTGCTGGCGACCGACGCCTGCGGGGCCACGGACGCCGATGCTGGCGGGTTCGGCGTGGTGAGCCGCGCCTGGGACCCGCGTGACGTCGGCCGTGCCTGTGCGCAGGCCGAGCGGTGGCGCTACCGCGTCTCCGAGGCAGTCTCAGCTCGGGCGCACGCTCTCGGGCTGTCGGAGTGCCCGCCTGCCGCCTCTCTATCGTGTGCTGGTAAAAGTTCGTGTCCGCCTTCGGGTACGCCTCTTGCGAGGACTCCGCCGCCTGCCTCGGACTTCGACCGGGCGTTCGGGGACATGTACTCGGGGACCGTCTCGTTCGAGCAGATCACATCAGAGCACGTCGGCAGTTTCGAATCGTGGCAGCTCCGGGTCAAGGGCAGGTTCAACCGAGCCGAGAACATCATCCGTCTCGAGGGGCACGGGCTCGTGATCGGCATTCGGCACCATCTTCGAGCCGTCTCGCGGCGGGGGCGCAAGCTGCTCATGTTGTGCGACAACCTGGGCCTCGTCTTGGCCCTGGGGAAGGGCCGGGCGGCCGCTCCCATCGTGAACAGGACGTGCCGCGAGGCCGCCGCGTTAAGCATCCTTGGGGACATGTCGGTGACCGTCCGGTGGGTCCCCTCGGAGCTCAATCCCGCCGACCGTCCGTCTCGCATGGCCGGCGCCTCGGCTCGAGACCCGCGCGCCGACCCTCGGAGCGCCAGCTTCGACCCCGCGGCGGCGCCGCCCTGCGACGCGGCCGCCGCCTTGCACGCGGCGGTCGACGAGGCGCTCCTGGGCGGCGAGCTCGACTGGCTGGGGCGGCCACAGGCGGGCGTTGCGGGGCTTGGCGACGCCCTCCTGGACGACCCGCTGCCCGGCGGTGCTGCCCGCCTGCATGCTGAAGCGGCGCCCGGTGGCGACGCCCTTGACGAGCGCTCCGCCCGCGGAGAGCTCGCGACCTGGGGTGGCTTGCCGGCTTCCGAGGACAGCGGCAGTTCGAGTTCCGACGCCGGCTCCGATTGCGGCGAGACCGTCGGCCCCAGCACCCCCCGCGGGGACGGGCCGGGGCGCCCCGGCGAGCCGGCGCCTGATTCGGGTGGCGCTGCCTGCGCTGGGCGGGCGGCTGTCGGCGCCGCAGGCGAGGGTGGTCGAGAGGATCGGCCGGCGGGCTGCCCGCCGCCGCTCGGCTGCGGCGTCTGCGCCGCCGGTGCTGCTGCCGGGCGGCAGCCGGCCGCTGGGCTTCCTGGAGAGCAGGCGCGTGACGGAGAAGAGCCGCGACACGCTCTGCCGCGAGGTCGGGGCGTTCAGGGAGTGGTGCCGGGCGCATCGCAAGGACGTGAGCTCCCGGACGATGCTCGACGAGGCGCTCGTGGAGTACCTGGACTGCCTCTACTTCGACGGCTACAACCACGAGAGGGGCGACAAGCTGCTGTCAGGCCTGGCGTTCGAGGAGCCGATGTTCAGGCGCGGCGGGGTGGAGGACCTGGCGCGGGCCCGCGCTGCCCTCCAGGGCTTCCGCCGCCTGGCACCTGGACAGGCAAGGATGCCGCTGCCGCGGCCCGAGTTCGCCGCGCTGCTGGGGGCGGGGATCGTGGCGCTGGGCCTGGACTTCGGGATCAGCCTGGCGATCGCGTGGGACGGAGGGCTGCGGCTGCCGAGCGACATCATGAGCCTGCAGGGGCGGTCGCTCATCCCTCCGCCGCCGCACTCGGGAGTCACGAACTGGGGCCTGCTGCTGTACCCGGCCGAGGCCGAGGCAAGGAGCAAGTCGGGGCACAAGGACGAGGGGCTGCTGCTCGACGGCGCTTTCACGAAGGGCATCGAGGCGCAGCTCTGGCGGCTGAAGAGGGCGGCGGGCGAGACCGGCTGCCTGTGGAGCTTCACCGCCGCGGAGTTCAGGGCGGGCTTCAAGCGGGCTGCCGCCATGATAGGGCGGCCGTCCCTTCACCCGTATCAGGTGCGGCACGGCGCGGCCAGCGACGACGCGCTGTATCGCAGGCGGACCCTCACCGAGATCCAGGAGCGCTTGCGACACTCCCATCCCAAGAGCACGCTGAGATACAAGAAGCACACCCGGTACCTCGCCGAGCTCGGCAAGGTGCCGCCGCGCGTGAGGGCGTACGGCGAGGCGGTGGAGGCGCAGATTGCGGCGGTCCTGAGCGGGCGCCTGGTGCTGCTGCCTCCGCCCGACCTGGCCGCAACGACGCGCTGAAGGCCGGCCGCCTGCGGCGCCTGGGCGACACGCTCGTGCGGAACAGGCAGCTGGCTGCAGGCGCGGTGCGGGCCGGGCTGAGTGACGCCCTTCGCCGTGAGCTAGGCGGCGCCGCCGCGTGCTATCTCGACCTTTTTGCAGGCTCGGGCGGTGTCGCCCGCGCGCTCAGGAGGCTTCACTGCGTTAGCCTCGAGATGGATCTTCGGCAGTCTGAGTTTTTCGACCTGGCCTCCAAAGTGGTTGGCCAGACCATCGTCGGCTGGATCTCCAGCCGCCTCGTCCTTGCAGTGTTCGCCGCGTTCCCGTGCTCGACCTGGTCCCAGGCAGCGCACAACTATTATAGAAACCCCCGCAATATTTATGGCCACCCGCACCTTGAAGGCGAGGCGTTGGAGCGCCTCCTGATAGGCAATGCGACGTTGGTCGTCACTCAGATGATAATTCGCGCTTGCATACACCATGGCGTGCCCATCATATGTGAGAACCCGCTCAGCAGTTATGCCTGGCAGGAGCCGGTCATGCGCCATCTGTCGCTGAATTCTCGTTGCCGCGATGCCGTGTTCGACATGTGCCAATTCGGGACCGCCTGGCGGAAGCCCACGCGACTTCGCGCGTGGAACTGTGTTCTTCCCCCGTCGGCCTTGTGTGCGCGCTGCAGCAGCGCGCGCGGCATCTGTTCTGTGACCGGCCAGCCCCACCGTGTGCTGCAGGGCCCCGGGCCCAAAGGCATCAGGTGGAGCCGCATCGCTGAAGAATACCCCAGTAGATTGTGTAGTCACATCGCGCGTTGGCTGTTGCAGAGCGTTGAAAGCATCAGGGAGCTCCGAATTCGTCGTCTTGCCGATTGCTGAAGCATGCGGCCTCCAGGGCACAGAATGGGATCGGGCGGAGCGTGGCTCCGGGCCGCTTGCAAGCTGGAAGCCGCTCGATCGAACAAACCTGCCTCTGGCCGTGGAAAAAGGGACCGGCATGTCTAGCTCTGTGAACGTGATTGCCTGTCCAAATCGCTCGGCCGCTGCTCGGCTGGAACCGCTTACACGTCCGTTCCATTGCCGTGCTCGGCCCAAGCTTCTCCTGGATGTCGTGGTGGTGGGAGCGGTACTCGGTGATGATGTATGATATCAGGGCTTGTTTGGTACTTCGTATGTGGTTGGTCTGAGTGATGGTACCGCGTACCCAGAAGCCGTTCTTGCTGCTGTAGGACATGTTGAGGATTGTCACCTCGTCGCCCTCGTTAGCCGTGATGGTGCCGCGGGCGATGGAGTCCTCCAGCTTGGTGTGGTACCAGTAACGTATGGTAGCTCCCATGGGGAAGGTGGTTGTGTTGGGGTTTACCTTCTCGTGGGTGATCGGCGCGATGGGGAACCATTCAGTGGGCTTATGTGGCTCTACTTGGATGGAAGGTGGTTGGTTGTCCTTTGCTGCGGGGGTGCTGGTACTTGACGTCGGGTCGCAGCTGCTGGATGCGGTAGTGTGAGCGTGCTGTTCCCCTGCATCGTGCTCCTGCTGTGCGATCTTGTCCTCGTAGTCGGTCTTGTCCTTTGGCTGTTCTGCTGTGTCTTCCTTGACGGTCGGCAGGGTAACGGTAGGTGGGGCTTTGAATGTCACTGGCTTCGTTCCTGAGATGGGCCCACTTTGAGGGGGGGCTTGGTGAGCTGGGTTGGAAGTCGCCTGCAAGGGAGTGGTTGCTGGCATTGTGCTGGTGATTGTGCTGCCACTGCTAGTAGGTATGGCAGTGTCAGACAGGTGGGCTGCGTTGTTGATTGCGGCCATCATTGTAGTTTCCTCCTTGTGGGCGCTTTCTCCCTGTGAGGCCGGCCCCCGCGTCGGTGATATCTCGATATGGATCTTGCGCTCGAAGATGCTGTGGTCGTCGTATGGTGCCAGTATTGGGGTTTGGGGCTGCGTATCTGCTTGATGCGATGGATGATGTGGCTTACGCGTGGAGGGTGTGGGCCTCCATCTCGTATAGGTGCGATCACGAGCAAGCTGTTGCCGAAGATGAGGAATGGCTTGGAGTCCTGGTTGACCTTGAGGTGGGGGAAGAATGTGCTACTTGCGTGCTCGCTGCACCATGGACGTGCTAGGTGGACCCATTCGTGTGCGTCTGGTTACCGTCGGTATTCGGTCCGGATCTTGTCGAGTAGGTCGTGGATGGTTTGTGTCATAGTTTTGTCGGCCAACTCTCGTTTGACTGGGTGCTCTGGCATAGGAGGGCGGTCGTTGAGGGATGGAGGGCGCATCGGCCTGAGGCGGTGGCAGGAGCAGCCGTCCTTGTTGATGCTGAAGGCCTCGATGTTTTGGTCGGTTAGCTGCCGAGTGCAACATGGTTCGTAGTTGACGTCGCCTGGGAACTTCCAGTGGGTGGCGCCTGTCTCCAGGTTGCTGTAGTAGGCGAGGCTTCTTGTTACGTCAGCGTGCGCGGTCCAGCCTGGTGGCAAGTTTGTGCGGTGAGATGGGTCAGTTCGCAGCGCTTCGCCTTGCTTGTAAATTAATGGGGCGCATGGGCGGCGGAAGTATCGGTTGGCCCCTGGCGTCGTTGTAGTGATTTGTATGGAGGCTCTGCTTGGGGGCGGGCCAGGCGGCGGTGGCGGCTGGTTTGGCGTCGGGGTCGCGTTCTGATTGTATCTGAACTGGAAGACGATCGGCATAGGTAGTGGGATGGTTTGTTGGATCTGTGTCGTTGTGCTTGTTATAATCGAGCGTCTGAAAAAAGCCGTGTGCCACTCGGGGAAGAAGCTCTGGGTCCCGTTGATGGGCTGAAAGCTTGCGTTGCGTAGTTTTTGGCAATGTTGAAGCAGGCGGCGTGCACGGTGGCTCTCCTCGTCATCGATGAGGTATTGCCTTGCTTGGTGTGCATCGTGCTTGGGTGGCTTGTCGATGTCTGTGGCCTTTATCTGCATGGTGCTGGCAAGTCAGATGTCCGTAGGTTGCTTGTATGTTGGCGCGTCGTTGTTAGGTCGCTGTCTTTTCTCAGTTCGTGCATCTCCGCCTGGGGTGAACTCGACTTGGTGGACGATGGTCTCCCGCTTGGTGGCCTCAGTGTGGACATTGGTGGTTCCGTCGGTTCTTGTTGTGCATGTCTCCGAAGTAGTGGTGATCTATTGCAGCACTTGGGCTGGGTATTCGATGAGGGCGCTGTCGATGATGGTGGGCCATTTAGGAAGGTCGCTGATGGGTGCGCTCAGCTTTAGGATCGTCACGTGGTCGATCTCCTTTGTAGGGAGTGGTGGCGTTCGGTATGTGCCCGCCCATGCCGATAGGAGTGCGGTGTCCCATTGGTGGCATAGATATATTGGTACTCGCTGTCCTCTGAGATCCGTCTCGTCGCAATGTAGTCCACCGATTGTTTGTGAAGTAATATGGTGGCGATCGATAGGGAGGATGCAGTTGCCCGTATATGGACGCAGTGCTCCTCCCCCGCGGGTTTTCACGCTGTCGCTTGCACATGCGGCTAGTATCCCAATCTCGGAGGTCGGGTGCAAGGTGCCGTAGATGTTGGTGATCGCCACGATGTATACCTTCTGGCTGCATCGCTCGATGTTGCTGTGGATGGATTCCCGTTCTACCTCTTCAAAGTTGCGGCGCTTCTCCATGCCCTTCTATTTGAAGATGCATAGGGTCTGAAGGTTCGCGCGAGGCGCCTCGTCCATGTTCTTCCGCGGTGGCGCTTGTAGCAGTGGTGGGTCAGTCGTTTCTTGCTTTTGGATGTCGGGCCACGCCAAGTTGTGGACGGGTATCTTCTTGGAGTCGCGGTCGTTAGCGGCGTCTTCTGGCGCGCGATGCTTCGCGGCGGTTCGGTGGCGCGGGCAGTTAGCAGGTCAGTCCATCCAATGGTCTGCGTCGGCCCACATCTCGACGTTGGAATGGACCATGAAGTTGCTAAACACGGTGACCCAGCTCTCCTTGACCTTGTCCTTCCAGCATTCCACACTTGCGGCGAGGGAGGCGATGGCGATGCGGCGCCGATGGGTGGCGCGCACGAAACCGTCCTTCACTGCCGCGGGGAAGTATATGTAACAACCCAGTCGAGGTAGGCGTACGCGTAGTTGCGCGTAAGGGTGTCAGACGTGTTGGCTCCTTGCGATGGCCTGACAATGCCTGAGCAAGTGGTAGCTCCTCGTGGTTCTGCTCTGGGGTCTCCAGGGGTGTAGATGAGCGCCTTCTTGTTGTCGTAGCCCTTGCTGTATGACACGACTGCGGGCATTCCTTCTTGTTGGTGCTCTGGCGGGGCCTCGCCCCGCATCTTGCGTGGAGCTGCGTTAATAGCTGCAACTCGTCGTTGGTTGGCGTAGTCTAGGTCCTTAACGCCGTTGGCGCAGTGGAGCTTGACCTCGTTTAAGTCGATGAACTTCGGTAGCTTTCCAAAGACGTTTGCCGGTATCCAGATGTCTTCATCTTGACCTTGTCGAGGTATAGTAAGCCGCTGAGAATGTAGATCCAGTGGAGGCCTCATGGCGCACTGCGCTTGGCAATGGGTGCGCCAGGGGCGCACTGGTCAGCTTCGGCTTAGCTCTTGAGCCGAAGCTGCGCTACGGTTAGTGATCTGTCAGCTGTTGTTATGAGGTGATGTGCAGGTGATGTGATGGGGGGTAGCGTCTTTTTCACAGGGTGAGCGATCGGGCGCCACGGTGAGGCGTGCCATTACCACTGCTGAGGAAGCTGTCTGTATCCTGAGCAGTGGACCGCCGTGGCCCGCGCAGTGCGGGGCGGCCACCACCCGTCGTCATCCTGGTGTGCTTCATTGCCCCCTGAGGGACTTGGTCGGGTAGTACTTCGCAATGTCGCCTTCCATGTCCCAGTTCTCGCGGTCTCGTGGCTGTGTCCATCCGTGGTGTACAGCGTCCATGATGGCGTGAGCCAGTAGTCTGCACATCTCGGTGGTGTGGGTCCTGGCGGTAGCTCTTTCCCCAGAGCCGTCGTTGCTCCGTCCAGTTGAACGGCAATGGTACCCTGTGCCGTGATTGCATCTTCCGTGGTTGGGTAGTAGTGTTATCGTCCGTCGTACTTCTGGTACTGGTATTGCGAGTAGCGTGGTCGGCCTCGCGGCTGTCTGTCCAGTCATGCATTGGTCGAAGGTGATAAGGCCCACCCCGTCGACGCCAGTCAGGTTTGTCATTTCTGGTAGTAGCAAACAGTTTGCTGTATCTCGCCCGTCGCTGACTATGGCGGGGTGCTCCATGATCATGGGGACCTTCGCGTCGATGCATATGTGTGCAAAGGGAATAGTGGTACGCAGCAGCTGGCTGTCGCTGTGTAGTTGTCCGAACTGCTGCAGGGACAGGCGCTGTAGCTCTCAAGGTTGTTGTCGGCTCCTCAGAGGTCGCGCGCGGTGCCCGCTCCATGTCTCGCATAGTGGTCCAGATATGATCGCGGCCACGCGGCCGCGTAGTCGTTGGTCTCTCCAGAACTGTATGGTGTCCAATTTCGTGAGGTCTCCCTTGGTCTCGTGGTGGGTGGTGTCGAAGAAGGGTATTGTGGTTATATTGTCGTTGGGGTTGCGCTATCCTATCCATCGTTGCACGTCGCCATTGCGTCCGTGTCCGCTGCAGATGCGTAGGATGACCTGTCTCGAAGTACCTGTAGGCA